AGAAAACAATGTTTATCGCCTATAAAAATCGAGTTGTGAGTCCAGAGGTCAACTAGCTCTAAAGGTGGGTGATTTTTATAGGAATTTGTTTAGGGTATTTTTTCAAAAATATGCTCGATCTAGGGTAAACCGAGACAAAGTCTGGGGTAACACAAAAAATGATCTGGCAACACTGGTACTGGCAGTCCATAACGGAACGGATTTTTCAGCAGTAAGACCACTGCGCAGTGCTCGCAGTGTATATCGGAACATACCCTAAGTAATTGCTTGGAACACAAAACCTCAGCCAAATGTTACCATCGTTAAACGTTATTATTTATCGCGAAATCAGGTACCTATAATTTTATAACTCGTTATGTCTAACAAAACACAAATTACGTTATGAAATGAACCTTCATGGAATCCAACTTCGCGCAGCGTAGTTTGTTCGACTCATTTTTAAGAGCGATGATATGTATTATACTATAAAAGGGTTACGTCGAATAAAACAAATCTTATATCCAAAGGTTTCAAACTTTCTATATATTAAAATTTTAGTTAACATATTGGAAGTTTTCAAATTAAACTTAAATATTAATTTTATAGCCTCTCTAATGTATGGCCTCGAATAATAATTACCTACTCTTAAAAATTGTAGAATATCTATGCTGATATTGACAAACGAACTTACATTATATTATTAAATAGCATAGCGTTAACGTTAACTATATAACGTCGTAACGTTAAGTTATTAGGGTGTTTTTAATAACTATGGTCACACTGGCACGCACACTACAATTGCTAAAAATCGGCTTCACTTTGTTATTCAGCGAACTCCGTCTTTACTTTTTATTTGGTCCGAGTCCGTCCTATATAAAAACCCGAATCAATCCGTTCAGTATTATTAACAATAGAAATGTAAACAATAGAAGGAGAATGAAAAGGTTCGCCAAATTTCAAACCGTTTCCTTTGAGGTCGCGAGCAATGTTTAAAGTTCTTCTTAACTTTACTGGCACATTAGCATTGTGTGGCGTCTAGCAAAGGGAATTTGCGTAATGTGGCAGATACACTTTACTCTTTGGCTATAACGGATATGTCAAGGGGTAAAATCACAGAAATATATCTAGTTAGAAGGAAAAAGTGGATTATTTATTCCTTACCTTTCATTCATTTCATTTTCATTTTACATATAAAAAAATAATTTATTTACTTGACATTGGCAGAATTGTGCGAAATGCGCAGATAGCCATTAAATAAAAAGGAAGAAGAAGAAGAAGGAAAAAGTGTACGTACTTCACGTGCCGAAACGACGTCTAGACAGCTTCATTGCTCGCCGCGAGGCTCAGTCCACTTTCGATCGCAATCGGTGTTGGACGAAATTTAAAATGATGCGTTGTTCGATAATTACCTGCTCAAACACCACCAATATGGTTGGATCTTATAGTCGAGGTATTACCTTCCATCGGTAAGTAACTATTTGCCTTGATATATCTATTTTGAATTAAAAATCATTAGTTTTGTTGCTCCGTATTATTTTTATCAAAACGGTCATGTGTCCAGTAATAGCTTTCCATTGCGGCTTTAATTTGACAGTCCAAATTTGCTGTGCTTGTAAAACCATCGATGTATAATTCAAGGTCAATTTGTTGGAAGACAAATTATCATTTTTTCTGTCAAAAATGGAGAATAGTGCTGTACAATGCGATTTTTTTTACCCGATTAAAAAAATATCGTTTTTGAAAGCAGAAGAAAGGATAATTAATTTTATATTGAATTATACTGTAATTTTTGTTTTAGTTTTCCGTATGATCCTAATATTAAAAATAAATGGATTGAAGCAACAGGACTCTAAGGCAGATAGTAGGTATACTTACTGGACATGGAAACTTTAACAAACACCTATATAACATGGGTTATTCTGACAGTCCTCTGAGCAGGGCGTGCATGGAGACTGAGGAGATTGTCTCCTCAGTCTCCATTCCAGTATCACATAAGCGCTTGTGCACTCATGTGATACTGGAATGCAGGAGCCTATTAAGACAAAAGGACTACATATCTATGAAGCCCAAGGATACTAGTGGAAGCATGCGGCAGAGTTCGAGATCTTACGGGCTTCCTGGAGGAGCTGGGGTGGCAGGACTAAAGCAACCCCGTGTAATGAAAAATAGGCACTGAGTATCGAATTGCAGAAAAGCCCGCCGTGAAACATAACATAACAACACAGGGCGTAAAAATGTGTAGCGTGTCGGGAGGGGGTAGCGGCTACTACAAAGTGTTTGCCCACAGAAAAATGCCGATTTCTATTCTATCGCATAAAATCTTTTTTGCGCCGATTCACTAAATTACATTCGTGAGTTCGTGACATATACATAATATTTAAGCAAAATGGTAGTCTGTCTATAAAGTCATGAAAAAAATTGAGGGCGCTGCGATCGTGCACGTAGCAACCCTGTGTAGTGAGACAAATGATTTTGATAGTAGGATTTTTTTTTTACTTTTATTACCCCAGAAAAGGTAAAGAAAGGCGTATAATTCGTAGACAATGAGTTTATTCTACATTGAAGATTACTATATAGTAATCGTAATTTTTGATAAATCTTTTTTTTTTATAATTGCCAAGTTGTTTTCTCGTTTTACTGCAATGTGTGCTTGTGTTCGATTAAAGCCTGTTACTTTGACACTCCTTGTAAGAAAACCCAATATATTTCAGAATTTAACGCAGAACTTCTAGGCTACAATTAAAATCCAGATCGGTTTTGACAATCCACTGATGTTTTCTTCATGTAGGTACCTCTTTTTTTCACAGAGTTAAAGAACTGAATCTTTTGTCGAAGTGCACAAATGTTGCAGTTAACCATTTATTTCTTAGGACGACTATCTATGTTTCCCAGGGGTTTCAAATATGCCACCATTTTTATAACCTTCATCTACAATACGTATCACTATATTCTCTGATTTTCCTGAAAGTAAGTTTTAAAAATGTAATACCTATAGGTATTTGGTAAAAAGAATGGAATCGCCACAATGATCAAATTAATGCTATAATTTTAGTAATATAAAGCACAAACTTTTTATCTTGATTGCGGATGCTTCAGTTCCTCTTCTTTTTTTAAATGTATGGCATATTTGCATTTATACAATTCCTTCAATGTCAAATTAGGGGCCTTTACACGTAGAGAGACAATCACAAAAATATATATTTTGACATAATAAAACAAGAAAAAATATACGTGGTCTTGTATATACACGAGCACCTAAGTGTTCATAGTTCATTTATAAAAAGACCGAAAATTACCAACTCACTAAATTGATTTTACCCACAGAAATAAATCTAGTTAGAAGGAAAATGTTCGTCGATTTATATGGAGACCGAGCGTGCCACATTTTGTGTAGGTATCATGACGTCACGATCTTAATTTAGTGATGGAAGACATAATTTCACTTGCATCGAATACATGTTCTATTTGAAACGGCATACCGATTCTTATCGATTGAAAAAACGATATCGAACGACGGACACCAACGTGTAGTCTGTCTATAAAGTCATGAAAAGAATGTTTGAGGAACTAACATTAGACACAAGTATGACAACACTGAATCAAAGTACATCGACTGTCAACAACTTGATTTTTTAGCTCGATTTTCTGCATTTTTGATTTGTTTTGATTAAACTGAAGCTACTTCTTCTAAACTCCGTCGAAAAGTGTTAAAAATGAAGAGAATTAATCGGAGTGAAGCTCAGGATATTATTTATAAAGTTTTTTAGTGATGTTTATTGGAACAAGAAGCTGGACACATTTTATCATATTTGTAGGATGTTAAAGCTCGAACGGCAGTTATGACTGGTATGTAATTGTGTTACTGATTGAGTTTTGGTAACCAGAATTTTCAAATTTACTAAATATATGAATTTAAGTCTAAAATAAGTATTGTTTACAGTATGCATTTAAAGGTTAGATTGAAAATGTTAGAAGGCTATATTGTAGTGCGGCCCGAACTTTTAATACTTTTGGATAACCAAATTTATCATTGATTTTAATCTGAATAAAAAATATACCTGTTAGGAATGTACGATTTTTACCTACGTACGCCAATAAAAAGTTTGTGCTTTATATTACTAAAATTATAGCATTAATTTGATCATTGTGGCGATTCCATTCTTTTTGCCAAATACCTATAGGTATTACATTTTTAAAACTTACTTTCAGGAAAATCAGAGAATATAGTGATACCTATTGTAGATGAAGGCTATAAAAATGGTGGCATATTTGAAACCCCTGAGAAACATAGATAGTCGTCCTAAGAAATAAATGGTTAACTGCAACATTTGTGCACTTCAACAAAAGATTCAGTTCTTTTACTCTGTGAAAAAAAGAGGTATCTACATGAAGAAAACATCAGTGGATTGCCAAAACCGATCTGGATTTTAATTGTAGCCTAGAAGTCCTGCGTTAAATTCTTTAAATAGATTGGGTTTTCTTACAAGGAGTGTCAAAGTAACAGGCTTTAATCGAACACAAGCACACATTGCAGTAAAACGAGAAAACAACTTGGCAATTATAAAAAAAAAAGATTTATCAAAAATTACGATTACTATATTGTAATCTTCAATGTAGAATAAACTCATTGTCTACGAATTATACGCCTTTCTTTACCTTTTCTGGGGTAATAAAAGTAAAAAAAAAATCCGGTTTATTTTACTATAAATAAAGAAAATCCTACTATCAAAATCATTTGTCTCACTACACAGGGTTGCTACGTGCACGATCGCAGCGCCCTCAATTTTTTTCATGACTTTATAGACAGACTGTACATCGATTCGATCGATTAAAATAAGAATCGAGATCTCAATTAGAACTTGATATAACATCTTCGTATACTTATAATTTTACAATTTCTAAACGTTTGAAATGGTCGAAAAAGTAAAACGTCATGTATGTCACATGATTGTTTGACAGTGACAGTTGCCTAATTTCAACGCGCACGGGCCGGTCCTCGAAGGTGAAGAATTTTTATTTTCAGAATGAATCAAGAGCGCGTACGTGCTTGTTGCGCCGTTTGTTACCAACAAACGAATCGAAGGTGCGGTCGTTGTTTGAATATATATTATTGTAATAAAGATCATCAACGGCAAGATTGGAAACGACATAAAACTGAATGCGGTCCCAAGAAATCAAAACAAGGTAGTGTACCCTCCAAAGTAGGTGATTGTGTGAATCACAACGAAGAAAGTGTTAATCTTCAACAAAACTTTGTCTCTAATTACACGGTAGACTCCAGGTTTTGTGAAAGTGCTGCTATAGACGCCAGAAATGATAATATAAGACATTTGATAAAATCGAGGGAAGAAAGTGTTAAGAGCCCTGGTCCTTTAGATCTTAGTAAACATTCGCGAACTACATCCGAGGATGTGAATAAAAGTGAAAGCGCTGGATCTAGTTCACAAGGACATAACGATAGTGTTACATCCAGTATAGTGTATACTAACAGGGACTTGATTAGAGGTAGTGCCATAACATACGAAGGATCATCAGAACATGAGATTCTGAGTGATCCTGTGCAACAACTGAACGCTGATGACTTTAGTGCTGCTAGTACAAGCAATGTGTTAAAATCTGTGAATAGGACAGAAATTAAAATGCCTGCATTACCTAGTCATGAAGCAGAGCATGGTACTAAGATGAGGGAGTACCCAGAAGCTTCTCTTAGAAACAGTGTAGCCCCATTCAACCATATGCCAAACACATATCACATGGAACCAAGTGATCCATGCTATGAAGTGTGCCAAAGGCTAGTAAGAGACATGACTCAGTATGGAGTATGCGTATTGGACAATTTTCTCGGAAGAGAAAAAGGTTTACTAGTGCGTAATGAAGTATTGAATATGTACAGACAAGGAATATTTTCAGTAAGTAATTGTTAATTTTATGATAATAGTGTGATAAGATTTTTTTTTTTAGTTTCTAATACTCACTTTGGGTTTCAGAAACTAAAAAAAATCTTAATGATCAAATGAGTAAATATAATTCTTTACATTCATTTAATTTTGTATTGAATATAACTAGATAGCTACTTAATATAAAAGTGGGATAAGGTTATTGAAGGGACAGCATCCAAATTTCGTTGATTTCTTCAATATGAAATGACAAGCATTTTAAGTACTAAAAATCTAATTCATGAATAATTTCTTTTGTAATTTAACTTTTTGTACTAATACACTACCTACATATTGTAATTGTTATCATGTTTGAATTTCTAATTTTTATCTCTAATGTATTTGCGACAAATCATCCAATCATCCATTAATTTAAAGATTTGGATATGTGTAAATAAATATAAAGTAAAATTATTTTCTCATTAAATGTGAAAATTTGAGGTTGAATCTCTACCTACCTACTTTTACAAATAAAATACCATGAATTAAATCTTTTATTTTACCTACATATTTCTATACCAATATTAAGTTACAAGAAAGATTTTTATTTGTATGTTTGGATCAAATAAGCTCTGAAACTACTAGACAGATTTTAAAAATTCTTTCACCTGCAGGTAGCTATATCATACAAGGTTTACATAGGCTATAATTTATGAGTTTGTAATTACACAACAACAGCTAGTGTTGATATAAGATTTAACACTTAAAATGTAAATTTATTCTTATTATGTTATTGTTATTGTGTTACTAATAACCATTTTATCATTGACTGTAACATTTTATTAAAATAGTATAACCTATAATTAATCTTTTGAATTAATTTATTTGCCCAACAGGCTGGCCAATTAGTATCTAATCCTAAGAGCAAAGACTCTCAGACAGTGCGCAGTGACCTTATCACATGGATTGATGGAAAGGAGCCATACTGTTATTACATCAAACAATTAATAACACAGGTAATATTACCATATAATTTGTGAAAGAAATATATATATATATATGTATATATATATATGAGATATGTCATACTAAAATATCATAAATAATAAAAGTTTGTTGTGGCTAATATTAAAACAAAGGCTCCACCAACTTCATTTATATAATATGGTTTTAGTAACCACTGGTTTCAATAACCGTCCAATTAGGCATGTGGCCATTTAATTGGATACCTCCATTCAATTGTATGACTAAATGTCAGTCAACTGAGTAGCTGAATAGGACATTGACTGTCAATGATTGCAAGAAGACACATAATTAACAATATTCTTACTTACATATATATTCTTACTAACTCATATATTCTTACTACTTCTTAGCAAAATATCTGTGATATTAGAAATAAAATTGCCTTGATATTTGGTTTTATAACTGAGCAATTTTTCTTTAGATATTTGTTTAAAATTTAAATCCCTTATGACTTTATATTTTTTTATTTTTACATTATATTGATCATAATATGTTTTTATTATTAGGGTAGTTGTTTTTTATTTATTAATTATCTATTTTATGATTATATTTGCAAAATTTATTATTAGTCTCGTCAAAAATTGTGGTTTAACACATTTTTCAATGTAACTGGCGCCATCTAATGATGACTGTAGAATCTTAGTAATAAACTTTATAGAATAAAATACTTCAATGTATATATAAATAAATAAATAAATTAAAAATAAAAATCATGATATATCTGTATCGTCGAATACTACTTAAAACTTTTATTATAACACTGGCAATTTATGCTGGATGAACGGGATGGTTGCTTTCTATTGACCATCCGTAAATAAAACGAAACAAGCGCCGTTGGTGGCGAAAAATAAAACTAAATGAATGAAACAATTGCTTTAAAAATCGCCTATCTTAGTTTATTAATTTATCCTAAATTTCAAAGGCAAAACATGTCAGAGTAATAACGGTTGAGATAGGTAGCAGTGTTCGACGACATCTTTTTTTTTCTTTTACGCTGTTAGTACATCCGACGCAATCGCATGCGAATGCGTAACATTTGCGAAATTTTGCAAGTGGCAACGTTTCGCATGTGCTTTGTCTCGCTCTTTTGTTAGCTCGATGGAATACTGCGTCCTCGTCAGTGCGGTTCTGCAGTCAACTGCGAAAAAACGTCGTTACACTGACGTACATGTTTCGCATCCAGGGTTGCCTTTTTTGCTAAGAAATGTCAGTCTAATTTTCGTGCCTTGTGAGATTGGACATATCATTGAGCATTTTTTTATATAGACGTACTTAGATATATAACAATGTCGTCAGTCATCGATATCAGATTCTGAAGAGGAAGAATTGTTGTTGCTGGTATAGGCTATGAAGAAAAGGCGTAGAATCTGGGTGCACAAAATAAAGCATAAACGAAAGAGACTTGGGGAAAATAATTTAAACTTAGAACTTCAATTGCATGAAAATCGTTTTTATAAATATTTCAGAATGAGGGCAGAAACATTTAAATATTTACATGATCTTCTTGATCCTTATATTAAAAAATAAAATTCAAAAACTAAAACCGCTACAGCTTAATCACGCTCTAAAAACCTTTTTTTTATAGCGATAGCTATTTTATAATAGCGATGACCAAAGAACAGCGTAGTCGTATGCCACAACTGTTTGTTTTGTTATGATCAGTTTTTGAACTTAGTTTTGTATTTAATTAATTTTTGAGTATTTTTAAGCAAAATCGAAAATATATATTTAGATGTGCTCCTTGTTTAGTTTAAGGGGATTGCCTGAACATTAATAAAATACGCTCTGTAGTATCGAAAAAGTAATAAGTGCTTGAAAAATATGTCAGACCAGTTAGGTACTGGGTAGTTCAGTGATTAGATCAGTCGCCCGGATTGCAAAAACTTGTGGCTGCCATCTCAGAGTATCAGGGACAAAGTGGATTTTTTAAGCATTTCAGTAGGAATATTTTCCATTGTAGCATTGTGAATGCAAAAATTGATCAAATATAAAACATGTATAAAATAAAAATTAACTAACATGACTCACTTGGCTAAAAAAAATCTGATTGCAGTTGGGAGACTTCTTAGATTACAAATGTTCCGCAGAACCTTCCCCTGCACTGCAATGAGAATTTGGTTTGTCCAAACCACAATACAACTAGTTTCTTTGATTTTTATTTTGATAGTGGCAGTTGTATTTTAAAATTATTTACTTTTCGTTACATTTCATTTATTTATTTTTTTCGTGGTAATAAGTTAAACTTTACCTTTTCATTTGTCAAAACTTTATTAAACGCCAATTTTTAAAAATAATTAAAAGAAACGCAATAGTTGGTAGGTACTCAAAATATCTTAGTGATAATAAGCAAGTATTAATGGCAAATTTTATGATAATATGCAATGATAAGTGATAAAATACTGATAATGATGTGTATGTCGACCGATTGGCGTCTCTCGTCCAATCTGCACCTCGCTATTTATAAAATTGACCCTAATAAAATGTCTTTATTAATCTATTCGCACACATTTTTCTCGAATATTTAAAAAAAAAAACGAGCAATATGTACTTCATATCTGCCAAGCGAACACTAATTTTTACTTATTTTGATTACCCTTGGAGAAAAACAGGTATTTAGTACAAAACTTTTTTTAAAGAGAGATATTACATTTTTACAACAATTTTAAACTATTAAATCCTTAAGAATTTAGCTTGTGACTCTTGTTAAATAGTAACAAATATCTCCCGGAATAGCACGCAGGCCCGGATCTAGGGGAAGTGGGGCTACTTGCTCTACGATGGGACAAATAAATTGTCTAGCTCGTAGAACTCTGGGGGGTTAAAAGAAGGCGCCATACAAAATTCTTCCACAGTAAAAAAAACAGATCCGGGCCTGGTAGCACGAGGGGCCCGGTTATAAAGCCCTGGGGTGCGATTGCCAACATTACCCATTGGATCATCATCAGGATATCTTAGCGATGTTATGGCGATATTTTTCATCGCGTTTGTATTTAGTTTTATTGACGTTTCCGACCTTTTGCAGGTCCCTTGTTCACATAAGAATAAGGTGTTGATTGTCTTTTTAATTAAGAGTTTCATTTAAAGGAATTTAGTTATAGTGATCTTATTTTTATTTAATTTTGTTAGTAAGGTCAAAGTAATAAAACTAACCAAGTGCGAGTCGGACTCGCGCACGTAGGCTATTACAAGCACTTTTGAATCGTCCAAAAAACTTGTTTCCCCTACCACTTGTTCAGGACGTCTTTTAGCTGACAAGAAGAACAAGCGAAAGAAACTTATCAGCTTTTTATCATAAGTAATGACATTTACATAAATCATGTCATTACCAAAATAATATGTATTATCAATTTATCACAATAGTAAATACAACTTTCAAAGTCTGTAGGACATAAGTTGAACATATAATTAGTCTTTATAGAACAAAGCGAAGGCTATTAATTCCATGCATTGCGATCCTTAAAATAATCATCAACTTTATAATAGCCTTTGCTCACAAGTATATTCTTTACATGAATTTGAAATTTATTTATGGGTAGGTCAATTACATTTTGTGGAACTTTATTGAACATAGCAATACATTTACCCAGAAATGATCCTCTGGTTTTTTGAAGTCTGAAGCTTGGAACGGCAAGTTTATCTTTATTTCTTGTGTTAAGATTATGAACACTACTTTTTTTTGTGAAGGAATCGTAATGTTTTCTTGTGAGAGTTATAAGACGTTGCTTCTTACAAAATTTCAAGATTTTGATTTCACGGAAAGTACCTTGGAGGTTATGAGTCCCTCGCGAGTTTCGATAATTTACGGCATAAACGGCTGTATCTTTTGAAATTTGGTTTTTTTCACAGCTCCAAGGGACAGTAGACTTGAGTATCCTATAAATTTAATAAATGTGAAAGTTTCTTTGTTTGGATGTTTGTTCATCAATCACGCCGAAGCTACTGAACGGATTTTGATGAAATTTGGTATACAGATATGGTATTAGCTGACTTAGATAATAGGATACTTTTTATCCCACAAAACAGTTCCCTAGAGACCACGCCGGCGAAGCCACGCGTTTCTGAGAAAAGGGGTCTTGACAGATGGACGGACAACGAAGGAATAAAATCCGTATTTCCTTTTGAGGTATGGTACCGGTAAAATAGACCCGTGCTTTTAAGACGTGTCTAAATCATGTTCCCGGAGGCTACATTATTTTTACTATTTTTCCTTAAACTGGCAAATAATAAAACACACAATTATAAAAATGACACATATATTGCTGCCAATTTTCTATGTTATTTATTTTAAATCTAGCTAGGTAAAGTTGTTATCAAAATGTTCGTATAGTCGTACTCGATGCAAATCATTGGTGCGAATTCTTAAAAAGCTATAAGAGTAAATCTTGATATGAGTACACATAATTAACATTGATAGATAATAATACTTAATTCATGGTGTTAGGGATCTCATTCGTTCAAATCAATAATACTCGTTATTACTATACGACACTCAAATAGGCGAATACTAAGTATGTAAATAAACCACACGCAGTCATCATTTTGGTATACGTTAGTAACCGGTCGAAAAATGGTTCAACATTCTTCTTTGTGTCCATCCATTTCTAGTTCATTACCATCACTATTTTTATAAACATTGCTAATTCCTACACTCCGGGTAAATATATCAATATTTTAATATCCTACCTTGAATAGAAAACGTATGTCCAAGTTAGAAAGTTATTGATGGTGAGCCTACTAACATTGCCAAACATGCAGATGTTTACTGGTTGATTGATTATATAATAAAAATGTTAAAATACCTACCTTATATTCTCAATGAAAAATGCTTAAAAATCCACTTTGTCCCTGGTACCACTAAAGTATAGCATTGTAAATAGAAAATTGATCAAACTTAATACCTGTCTTGTGTCTTTTTTATACTGAAAACACTAATGCAGCGAAAAGAATTGCCACGAAAACTATGCCTTACGGTTTCTTAAACTACACAATGGATTAAAATGTTTGTGCTATTTTAGTAGTATTTAGGGTGACCCATCTTTAACCGGAAGAATGACTTAAAACCTTAAGCAAAGGCCAACACCATAGTAGAGTTATAATGTCGACAATGCTTTGCGACAAACACAGTAGTACCAATGGGCTTTCATGACATTCGACCACTTGTATTATATGAATTGCGTCAAATAACAATAAACAAAAAAAATGATCGTAATATTACGAATAACTCGGTTAAAAATCATGTAAACCACACTACGAATCTGTAAACCACACTACGAATCTCTAATATAATCATATCGTATTTTGTTGTGTAACGTTAGTTACATGCTAAGTTTTGCAGTGTGGGTTTTTCGTTTCACAATTTTACTAAGTGCCTAATCATGACTTAGTTATTGTTATCCTTATAGGATAATGTTGTCTATGTTATATAATTTTTATTCACATATATTTTCTGTTGTGTTTATGACTATTGTATTCCACACAATGCTGATAGCTGATAGTGTTAAATGTCCAATAACAACGAGAAAGTAGCAACCGACGACGATAGCTTTGCGCGTAAGGGGGCCACACAAAAATGTTAGCGAGTTATCCAAAAGATTTTATGATAAGCCAATGAATTATCTGCGCTATCAGTTGTATTTGTGTTGTGGTGGTTATGTCACACTATTGAGTGCTCGTTTATACTGAACGTGTAGTGACGAGAACTTCAGGGTAGTGCAAATCTGACGGACGATACATAAAACATCTTTCGTAGAATTCTGTCGTTCTGCGACCTATCAAACGCAACGCATCTTCCGTCATGCACTGACCCATATCTGTCGCGTACTAACGCATACCGTATCTTCCGTATCTTAAGATTTGCATATTCTTGGGCTATATAGATGACAAGGAATGTTAAGTGGTCGCAGTGCTTCATTAGTTCTAGTGCTTAGATAAATAATTCCGAACAAAAAGTATTAAATTATTTTTACATATAACACTGAAGTTGTTTTTAATATCAATCGTGGTTGTACCATTATCACAATATGTGTGAAGTTTGAGCACCTCGTGCGATGTTTCATTTCAAACCATATAACAGCAGTATGATTTTAAGACTTGTTAAAGAGTACAAACATTGAAGCGATTTAGTGAGATAGGAAGTATATTGCTTTAATTTACTAACCGTAGATACACTATATTATATTACAAATTAGAGACGTTGCGGATGTTGAATTATGAGGGCTCACATCCGCAAATGCAAATGCGGATTCATACAGACCTTTTTAAATCAAATTTGGGTTAAAAAATAAAATAAAAAGCTATAAATTTTTGATATTGGTACATTTAATTTGTTCTGCATTGGCATGCCCATACGTATCGGCATCCGCCACGTCTCAAGTATGAATGTTTATGATACATTGCACACTGATACACTGCTAGTAATTGTGCGATATTAAAATTGAATTAAAATATTCCAGGTTGATAATATCGTTCTCAGGGCAAACAAGATGGCCCACAACGGGAAAATGGGTGACTATTTCATCAACGGGAGGACTAAGGTATGTAGTAGTAAATTAGAATGGGATTATTACTGGCAGTAACTGACTTGCGTGCTATTATATAAAAGCTTCCAACGAGCCTGCATTGTAAAACATTACAACCACTTTTGCTCTAAAGAAACAAAAGACGAAACTAAAAATTTTTCTTAATATTTTCGAAAATATAATCAATCCATAGGAATAGAAAAATGACATCAAATACTAATCAAAAGAATAGTTTATGACAATATCTCATTACCAATAAAAATAGTTTCTATTTCTAAATTTTGCTTCATATAATAAAATATTATTATTGAATAATGATAATACTATTTAAATATGATAATATTTTTATTAAATACCTCTATTGTGAAGAAACTAATTGACATATTCCTAAATTTAGAACCTCAATTTCATTCCTTCTTTTTTCTTCTTCTTTTCTTACTCAAGCATTACAGTTACTTTTCCTTAAATAAAACTATTGTAATGTTATTAAATTAGTTTTATTTAACGAAATTATTATTTTTGTCAATTTTTCAAAGAGGTATTTTAAAAAATATTTCTAGTAGGTAAAGCAGGTCGCAACGCTCGCTTATTCGCGTTCACTAACGTTTTTTGACGAGCAAGACAGGCGACAAGCTTTGATCCCAATTAATAAAATAAGACATTAAATTCACTACAGGACACTTCATTAAGAACGGTTCCGCAGATAATTCGTTTCTTGTTTTATTCATCGTCTACTCAGTTACTCGTATTAACAGACGTTAGTATTTTGTATAGAAACGCCACATATATTAGGAAAAAGGAACCAAGTAAGTACTTATTACCAACCTGCCAGAGGATTTGTAAACAATTTTAGAATCGCCCTGAATATTCGTGATGTATTGTGAAATTATGAGACATTTTATAAACCAGTAAGAGTTGTAAACCTTGTCAGTGTTATTAATAAACAAGGATTAGCGTCAAAGTAAATTTACGCTAAAATTACTATTTTAGTATTAGTCCAAATTCATATTATACTGATAATAAGCAAACCTACTACCTTCTAGGAGTAAATATTACTCCCTTAGTACCGCGTACTAGGTTAACCTTTACTAAGTCTCTGTTTAATAATATGAATTTTGACTAATACTAAGTTCAGTTTCAGTGTAAATTTAACACTGTCTAAATACGACGTATACCTAGATGATTTATTCTATGGCACTCTCCAAATACAAAAAAAAAAAACAAAAACAAGAACGTTGATTATTAAATCAAACAAAATGCACCAAGATACGTCGATATTATTCTTATCGTCTTGCAGATAAGTAATAGTATCGTAGATAAAAACCAAAATAAACGCAGGCGTTTGGCACATGCGCAGTGCGGACCTGCGTACGTGACCCGTAGCAGGCGACGGGTGGAGTGTGGTGTGCGGGGGAACACTGTAAACATACAGAAGTAACGTAGCGAATCCCATGTCGTCGGGCAATGTTTACGTTCGTTCGTTCGTTTGTAATTGTCGTTGTTCATAATTTCTTGATGTTTCTGCCAAAATTACTTCAACCTTAGTAATGTTGAGGTTGAAGTCTTAAATTACCCATAGTCAGTGTATGTACGTACACTCATAAAATGCAGTTCCAATTTATCATCCAATTTTCAGTGATAGATAAAGAATATAATTGCTTCTCGTTCTGAATGAAAAGTTGTTGTGTTTTATATACTGTAGTAATTCATTGATTAATGTTTCAAGTAGTGTTAGGAATTTCAATGGCCTGTATGATGATAATGTATGTATTATGTAAACTAATGTATATCAAATTAATTAAAGTTTGATATATGATTCACGTTCACTTTGTAACATACAACATCAGTCACGTTAATTTAATGCGAGTTGACATAAAACTTTCCTAATTAGTAAACCAGCATCATATTTTAATCGTTATTAAAACGTTGTTAGGAATTATGTAATAAAAATGGTTAAAACTAGAGAAGCATCTTCATTGGACAACTTCGGTGTTTGCGTCAGGCAGCTAGATATAAACATAATATGTAGTTTAATAGTATCATCTTGTTAATAAAAATACAAAAGATGTTATTCTATTAGATTATGTATTTTGAGATAATGGGTTCTAATTTAAAAAAAAAAACTACTAGCTTAAATTAACTAGTCAACAAGTCATATCTTTGAACAAAATGCACCAAATAATCTATTAACACTCATGTATCTATAATATTACCTTCTTTTAATTAATTTTCATGAATAAGGCAGAATTTATTTTGTATGTCATCCGCACACTGACGAATAGCGCTATTGTTACAATATTTTGGTGCCCTACATTCGGTTTCGTACCTGCCCTGTGGCACGTGCTCATTGCCCTTTCGTCATGGAACAGATGCGGAAACGGCACTGGCCCTTCAACATTCGACCTCAGTCTATTCTGAACCATATCAATATCTTTTGATTTTGTCGTTCTATTTATATTGAATGATATAGTAGGCTTCACTTTTGATAAATTGACAAAGAACACCTAAAATCGATAGTTACGTTATAGATTGGTGCAGAACTTAAAAAAATGTTTATTAATGTAGATATGAAACTACCCACTAGCTATTCATATTTTAAAATACAAATGTAAGTGGATGAAAATTATGACAATCACTGTTTATTGCTTTTACTGTTAGCATTGTTTAAATAGCTATTAGGTATTTACTGCTCAGGGAAAAACCTGAGCTGCCATCTTCTATATATGTATAGTAAAAATGTAACGTTTAGTGAATCATATCTTAATAAGTATTTATCCACTTTAAGTGAACGACATAACTTCCTCTTCTGCTAATATATAAAATGTTATAAGAGTGTAAAATATATTTTGATGATCATAAATAAATTCACTAACTAAAACATTATGAATAATTTTATAAAATAATAAAAAGTGACATTATCTATGATTTATTAATACAATCTTTCATCAAAATTGAGGTCTACAATAGGATATATTACTTGGTCAAGTAAAATAACCTTTCTCATTATAGTAAGTGATAAGAAACCGGAATTGGGTTTATGAATATATCTACCTATATCCAACATATTTCATGCTTCTCTTCTAATGTTAGCGATAACAAATATTTGTTTGTTTATCTTTATATGTGAATGTAATACTATATATGTATATAATAAATATCGAATGATATGGATATGCCAAGCCACCGCCGAACATGCAGGTCCTACTTAAAGCCATTTATTCCACAATTACATTTTTAACAAGTAACTGCATTTTTTACGTTAAAATTATAACACATAATATATTAATAGCATTTTTGTTTATAGTTTCGACATTATAATTATTGAATTCTCCACTTTACAGTTCGATAATATGTACCATATTAACGACGATCACACGTTCAGCCGTTTAGATTTTAATCGATGCTTAAATTATTTGTTTGGTTTTTTCTCTTAATCTTATTTTTTAATTGAATAACCCCACTAGCACATGAAATTGGCAGAATCGTGCAGATTGCCTATTTTGGACGTTAGATAAGAAGTTTAAATAATTGATTTGAAGTCGAAGTACGAGGAAATACACATAGGATAATTATTATGTCAAGAGTCTTTGTCATATATGAGTCTCCGCACACCGAACAGTAAACGTATGACTGCACAAAAAACTGTCTCAATGAATTAATTGAATGAAGATATGAAAATATTCGCAACATGATATTTCGACTGTGGTCCTAAGAGAGAGACAAAAATAATGATATTATTTAGAGTTTACTTAATTTTATGCACTATTATTATTGATCTGAAGATTGATGCATTCATTCCATTTTTCATAACAATCTAACGAATAGATAAATAAACAATTTTCAATTAAGCAAAGACAACAAAATTATGAGTCAATTACAATTCCTATAGCACATAAGCTTCGTTTTATTTAAGATACATCATATCTATAATATATAAAGCTTAATTACCACTGACTGACTGACTGACTCACTCCATGCTTTTTTCGGGTAGTTAAAGTAGGAAAATGACATTTTCATGTATGGAGACTGACTATATTTTTTTTAAATGAGTTGAAGCACCATATCGGTACAGCCAAAAAACAAAATGGCGGCGAGATAATTTTTTTAATTTCTAAAGTATACACTCTACGATTACGATATTCAAAATGGTCGTAGATTTGGCTAAAAATATGACACTGAAAAAGGGTTTGATTAAAAAAACAAAATGGCGGCCGAGATATTTTACCTAGAAAATTGACATTTTTCGACCTCTGTTCGGGCGGATGTCGTTTCTTTTGTGGTGGGTTCGGAGGGGGTATTTTTATGCTGGCGACTCGGAAATGTAGTCGATTTTCACGTATGGGGAGTTTTCATTTGCACGGCAACATGGCGGCGGCGGGGGCGGCCATTTTGTTTTGGCAATGAAAAATCGCCATTTTCCGGTGCAATTTTCTTCAAGATGGCGGCGTCGGACGGATTCGCGTTCTATAGGCCGGTCGTGAGGATTAGTAGGATCTTTCCACATTAGTACTAATTTCTACCATTTTCGTGGTAGTTTAGGAGATTTTGGGAGAAAAGTGAAATTTGGAAATACGCACTTTTCGCGGAAAACAGACTCGATGTGGTGTGGTGCCGGGGGAGCCCTATGACTTTTGGTAGTTTTCGTTTCCGCGAGCTGACAACCCTGGGCTCCACGGTAGAAAACGTGTTTTTCGACATGCCCTCATAACCCGAATTGTTTGGGAACCTGGGTGGCCAGTGGAGAAAATCTGTGAATGAGGTGTCGCGCCAAATATAGTCGTGACTATGGGAAAATTGTGAAACTCGGGAAAATCAATATGGCGGCGCCGGCAGCGGCCATTTTGTGATTTTTTCACTTTTTCGAAAAATTCAAACGCACTTTTAGCCTACATGGCAACATTGTAGCTCTTCGCCTGGTATGGACTGGTCGTGAGTCTCCGCTGGCTCTTTCGAATGACGTGAAATTTTTCCCCGATTTTAGGGTAATTTCGGAGATTTACCCCAAAAAGGTGAAA